TCTCTGCTACTAGCAGTACTGCTACTGTCAGTAAAAGTATTGCTACTGTCAGTAAAAGTACTGCTACTGTCAGAAAAAGTACTGCTACTGTCAGAAAAAGTACTGCTAGTTGCAGTAAAAAGGAAAATTTGAGAGGGTTTTCGACGATAAAGTACTGCTACTGTCAGTAAAAGTACTGCTACTGTCAGTAGCAGTACTGCTAGTAGCAGAGATTTTTATCGTTGTGGTCCGACGGTTAAGCCACAAACGAATGTCCGACGTCCCACCAAAAAATATTTTTTTATTTTTATTGTAAGAACAGAAATGTCAGTCGAAGCAAAAACGTTCACGAACAAATCTAATGGCGAAACATTCACAAAAGGCACTTACAACGGTATTGAAGTCTTACGTAGAGACAAGGATGGTTATATAAATGCAACAAAGATATGTCAGCAGTTTGGGAAAGACTTTAGAAGGTTGTTGGAAAATAAGTCCTGGGAAGAGTATTATACGGCATTTTGTGAAGAATATACCAACCCGCGGAAAACGGCGGGTTGCTTTTTATACAAAGTTCATGCAGGAATTCCTGATGAAATCAAACAGGTTAGAGGAATGTATGTAGACCCAAGACTTGTAAACTATATAGCAATGTGGGCTTCTCCAAAATATTGCATAGCAGTTGGAAAAATTATGGACTCCATAGACAAGAAAGTTCATGAGAAATTAGATGAAGAAGAACTTGAAGATACAGTAGAGAATGCAAAACCTTTGTTTGAAGAAGAAGTTAGAAAAATGCATGAAAAACAAATAGAACATGAACGTGAGATATGTTCTGGTTATAGAGATTCTCCATACGAACTAGACCAATGGGAACAAGAAGATTTAAAGAGAGAATTTAGAGAATATGAACTCGCTAAGATAACATTAGAAGCTGCAGAAAAGAAGTTAAAAGTTTGGGGTCGTTTTGTACAAAAATATTGTGAGTAAATGAACCATTTTTTTTCGACAAAAATATATTTTAGGGTAGAAGGTTAGATCTAACCTGTCTTCTACCCTCTTTTCTACCCTCTTGAATTTTCATGACTTCTTCGTAAATGTTTTGTCAAGACTTCTTCATAAATGTTTTGTCAAGACTTCTTCATCGTAATGAGTGTAAAGGACCCAAAAATATATTTTAGGGTAGAAGGTTAGATCTAACCTGTCTTCTACCCTCTTTTCTACCCTCTTGAATTTTCATGAATTTCATCGTAAATGTTTTGTCATGATTTCATCGTAAATGTTTTGTCAAGACTTCTTCGTACATGTTTTCTAACCTCATGAGTTTTCCCGAAATAAAAAATAAAGTTGGTTTTTTTAAAAAAATATTTTTTATTTTTATTGTAAGAACATGTTAGCAACAACAGCACCAAATTCGTTAGTCATGAACCCAACTTCAATGTTAGTAGAGATGAAAAGCTTCATTCCTTCTTCATATACTTTCGAAACAGAAATCCAGAAGATAAAGCAAGAACTTCTCCAAGGAGATTTAGATTGCACTGCAAAAGATGAAACAGATGAAGAATATCTTTATGAAATGCAGGATATTATTGACCATCTACCTAAACTTCCTGAAATCCAACAACAAAAGCTTACTATTCCAGAATTCGATGAAATAGAAGTCAAAGCAACTGACTCAGTAGAAATAAAGAAGTTCATACGAAAGGTTAACTATGAGTTTCTTGGATTTCATTGCAACCACAAAGTCATGGACAAAGATTGCGATATGGTATATAAGAACATCTCTGACATATACAAATCTGGGGAGTTTAAGACCTACGACAACTTTGTTTCGTTAGTTGCAAAATGTGTATGGCAGATAAGAGATAAAGATAGAAGAGGTAAGGTATGGACTGAACAGATAAAACCAGCAACTTTTGAGTTAAAGAGAGCAATTGACGCCTTAGTCATACTAGCAGGTAAGGTTTCAGAATATAACGCAAAAATGAACCCACAGTGTTCTAAATGTAAAGCAGCAATGAGGAAATATAACTACTCCGTCAAAGAGATAGAACGTATGAGAAACGACTATGCAGATTTAAAGACAGAGATGTCAAACATTGAGTTTGAAACAGTTGGAAAGATAGACAATGACACCAAAGTGGTTAGAATAGGTGATTTAAACGTAAGATACTCAAAGAAATACAACAAATATTCTTTGTCAGACATTTTATCTCCATTTGGAAAAAAAACAAACCACTGGGTTAAAATTGCTTCTACTCAGAAAATTTTGACAAGAAATCCTGAGCTTATGATATCGGTAAAATTCTATGGAACTGCAGCATATCTCATCGACAAAAGTCTTATACCAATAGTTTTGTTATGGTTAGACCCAGTTGTTGGATATAACTTCATAAACATATGGTTCATTCGATACGGAACGTTGCAGTGAAGGCTTACTTTACATCGTTCAGAAACCGAAGGACTTCAATACAAAGAGATATAAGATAGGAAGGACATATAATATAACTCTAAGATATGACAGTACAGTCAATATAGTCAAGGTTGTGTTAGTTAATGATATGAGAGCTGCAGAAACAGAACTACTTGAAAAGTTTGAGAAAATGTATGGTGCTCCCATAAAAGGTAAAGAAACGTTTGAAGTAGATGAGATAGATAAAGCTATAAAATTATTTGACGAAGTTGCTGAAAAATACATGTAAAAATAACGTTTACCATGTGAAACGCTTATAAAATAACTGGGGTAGAAAAGAGGGTAGAAGACAGGTTAGATCTAACCTTCTACCCTAAAATATATTTTTGCTGAATTCAGCAACAAAATTCTGAGTAAAATGGCATAAGATTGCTTCCCTCGGAAACAGTGAAGAACAGCGAGTAGGTAAGAAACCTTAGTCGCCAAAACTCTATGAAAATCGTGAAAATTCTCTAGACCGTTTTTTTCCCTACTCGCCAAAACTCTATGAAAATCATGAATTTCCTTAAGATAGAAAAAATAACGCTAATTTTTTATAAAATATTTTTTTATCCGGAATGTAAAGACAGATATGTCAACAACAGAGAACACAACAACAGTTATAGTCCATGAAGCTATAAATGAAGAATATGAGTGGGTTCAGTTTAACAAACAACTCCGTCTCATTCGTTCGGTCAAAGACGATATGTACCAAATGCAAAGTATTTTGAATACTCTTCGTTCTACAAAGCAAGCATACCATTGGTTTGAAAACCAACAGACAAAAGAACTTTTAGAAGAATTTCCTCATATGTTTGCTACCCTCGGAAAACCGAGGGTAGAGATTCCGTACGAAAATCGCAAGAATTTGGCTCCTGGTTTGAGAGGTTGGTATGTACATAGACTTCTTGTAAATGCTGTTGCAATGTGGGCGTCACCTCGCTATGCTTGTTATATTTTCATGATGTTAGATGAAATTCATAGACAAGAACGTGAAGAGATGGAAAAGAAACTTCAAGCAAAAGATGAAGTCATTGAAGCAAAAGACAAAAGCCTTCAGAAAAGAATACCACGTTCGGTACCAAAAGGAAAGGAAAAGAACTATAAGTATATGATTTACACTGAAGAGATGGAAAATGAAGAAGACAGAGATATGGTTATGTTGCATTTAGTCAGAAGAAACAACAAAAGCTTTTACGACCTTGCTAAGATTTACAAATCTGACAGAAATTGGTTCTATCGCGAAAACTTACCGATTTCAATGACACCAAATGAAGATGTTAAACAGATAGTTCAAGATACGTTACCTCAAACACACTATGATATGAAAGGTTGTACAATACTTACATTCAAAGAAGATTTGCCGCTACTGAAGGAAAAGATAACAGAGTATTTTGACAACTTCAAAGAGGAAGAGTAAATGAACCATTTATTTTTGGTCTTGACTTCAGATGGCTCAGGTAGCTCTAGATGGTAAATTGTCTTGTCAAATCCTTCTGGCATTCCGAGTCCTTCCTTCTGGCATTCCAAGTTCTTCCTTCCGACAAGAAAAAAATTTCCTTCCGACATTCCAAGTTCTTCCTTCCAACAGGAAAAAAATTTCCTGACAACTGGAAAAAAATTTCCTGACAACTGGAAAAAAATTTCCTGTTGTTCGTCCGTAAACCATTCAAATTTTCGAAAATTGAGAACTTTTTGGTCGAACTTCAGAAAAAGTTTTTCCTTCCGACAGAAAAAGTTTTTCCTTCCGACAGAAAAAGTTTTTCCTTCCGACAGGAAAAGTCCTTCCTTCCGACAGGAAAAAAATTTCTTGACAACTGGAAGAACTCTTCCTTCCGACAGGACACAAACGAATGTCCGACGTACCACCAACCGAGTCCATTCCAAAGCCAGAAGAACCGACAGCCCCAGCACCACAACAGACTAAGACTAAACACTTACATTTTTCAAGCTTGACTTTTTACAATTTGAACTTTGTTCGCGTAGATGTGAATTCTGAAAGAAGTATGAGGGTCTTGTATGACTTTGTACTTCTCCCATAGTTCATGTCTGTCAAACTTACCTGCCATGGACTCTTTCATAAGTTCCATGAAATCGTCTTCGGACAATCCAGGGAAAAGTATGATATCAGTAAGTATTCTTTTAACATCCTTACTTAAACTCTTTGCTGTCTGTACACAAATGACAACTGAGATGTTAAAGTGTCTGAGCTTCTTGAGAATTCGACACATGTCTTGTTCTCTGTTCTTTAACAAAGGATGAGAAGCAAAGTCATCTAAGATAAGAAGACATCTGTGAGGGTAAGTCTTCCAATCGTAAGATTGCAATTTCTTCGAAATGTATTCTATCTCTTTCTGTTTGTTTCTGAAGTGTTTCTTCTCTAATATTCTCTGCATTTCCTCATTTGGGTCTTTAAACCTCGAATTGACATACTCATTTATAGCATTGTACTTCAAAACTCTTCTTTGGTACTTCTTTATCCAATCCAACAACTCAGAGTCTTTTATACATACTAACTTAGACTTTTTTATAATATCTTTTGAACGAATTTACGGTTTGGTCAAATTGACCAGAAGTACTACAAATGACTACTAACTCATAGAATGGGTTCTTCTCATCTAGTTCTTGTTGTTGTGCAGCCATTTTAAGATAAGTGAAAGTCTTACCCGACCCAGGTGGTGCGATTAGACCTGTTATACCATTCTGAGCAAATAAGAACTTGTCATGTATAGGCTTTATCTGAGCATTTTCTAACTTCCTCTTGTTCTTGTTTAAAACATTCTCAAATTTCTTGTCAATGTCAGCAAACTTTTTTTCTAACATATTTTTAGAAAAATTAAAATTTTTATCTTTTTGAAAATGTCTAGCGATTTCGCTATCTATATTCGAGACAAACTTTTCGACAGCAAAACATCTGTAGACCATAAAATCTTACATAGTGTAAACAAGAAAGGGAATTTGTTCTAAAGTTCTGTTTCTGGGAATATGACAAGAGAACCATAAAACATTAAGCAGAGCAGTCTTAAAATTTGTCAATGACAGACTTGTTGACAGAGATGACGCCGATTGGAAAGCTGAAGTCCAACAAAAGTTCTTAGAATGCAAAGAAGACACATGCGCTGTTCTTGAAGATGAAATAGAAAACAGAATAGAAGAGCTATTAAAGGACAAAGACCTTTTACAAAAATATGGTTCTGAGAAGTTTGACATAACTCCACCAGAGAAGAAGAAGAAGAGAGAGAAGAAAGAAAAGAAAGTAGAAGAAGAGAAGAAAGAACCTGAACCAGAGAAAAAGAAATTTGACATGTAAAAATAAAATTTTATTTTTAGAACATTTCTGGGTCAATGTCAATGTTCTCTTCCTCTTTAGGAGCAAACACTGGTTTAGACTCTAAAATCTTTTTACCCAATTTACCTTGAACTTCAACTATCTTAGACTCATAATATTCATAGTCGTCTGCTTTCTTTGGTTCATAAGGTATAACAAGTTTGTATGCTTTGCCTTCTTCGAGTTTTGAGAACTTTCTGTCAAAATTTTCTTTGACTGCTAACAAACCTTCTATGTCTAAGTCTTCAAATTTCGCACCATTTTTAGTCACAATAGCAAAACTTAACTGGTTCGATGTTCCAAACTTTGTCAAATGTAGACTTTTCAAAATGGTAGAAGTAAACATTCAAATAAGCGAATGGGTCTAGTTCTTCTTTGACTTCTGTCATGTACTTGTTTACTGAGATGAATTTTGCCATCTTTTCTATCGGATAAAAAAATATTTTTTTAAAATTTACTCAGAAAAATTTTTCTTTGTATATACGCCGTTCTGAACATCTAAAAGATTTTTGACATTTGCCAAGAATGTTCGTTTAGGACGCTGTCATATAACCATACTCTTGGCAATATTGTTTATATTCATCGTACAATGACCTTTCATCTAAACACTCAAAGTTAGTCTCATCTATAAACAGTTCATAAACACTCTTGGTTTGCTTCTAACAATGTTTGTCTTTCTTCGGTATGTGGAATTTGTCTTGGATTGAACTTTGAAATATCTAATGTCATGAAATATGAGAACAAGTGGTTTGTAAAAGTCAGATGTCAAAGTTTCTGACAAAGCGTCAAAATATTCTGTATCTTGCATATGAGAATCTGACGTTCTGACAACTACATATCTTCTGTCAGAACTTTCTAACTTCATCGAGAACAACATTGTTTGAAACCATGACGAAGTTTGCAACATTTTCACAAACTCTTTGGTCTTTATATTTTCTTTCAACAACTCCAACTTTGTCTGTTATAAGACTCTTCAAAGCATCTGAGTTTAAAACTTTTGTTGTATCTATACTTTGAAGTTCGTTACATACTATAAGTTTCATATTCTCTATTGAAGAGTTAAATTTACCGCAGATGTTTTCTATGTTTGTCATATTAGGGTTCGAATAGCCCTCTAACAGTTTGCATAAGATATCTGTAAAGAAAGTGTTCTTACCTGTTCCTTGTTTTCCAATTATGATGAGAGCAGTTTTCATTTTTAGCACTTGGATGTTGTAAGATGTTTGCAAACCAACATAAGATATACTCATAAACCTTTTCGTTTCCATTGCATATAATTTCTTTGACATGGTCTAACCAAGCTTCTATAATATTTTCTTTCCATTCTACTTGTTCGTATTTATATCCAGTGAAGATAGAATAGAAGTTTGGAGAAGGTGTATAAAACTTTATACCTCGAACTGAAAAATCTTCAAGTTTTGACAATAAAGATATCCCAAGCATCTAACATCTTCATGCAACTTGTACGACTTTTATTTTCTTAAGTTTCTGTCTACATTCTTGTTCAGACACTATTGTTGCTCTTGGTTTGTTAAAGACAACATCCCATTCTTTCATGACATAACATTCTGGGGCAGAGTCACATAAATGACTAAACGTTTCAAATTCTCGACTGCTTTGTTATAGTCTCGAAATGGACACATATTTCTGAATGCTTGGAAGTCATAAAAATCTGAAACATCTATTCTGTACATTTTTATAAAAATAAAAAAAATATTTTTTTTATTCTTGACTTTGTTGTTCCATTTGTTTGCATTTGTTTGTTCTTGAGCTATTTGTTGTTGAAGTTGTTCTTGTAGTACAATACTTTCACCAGTTGCATCTTCCAATTCGAAACTTTCTGCCGTCATTGACAAATACATAGGACATAAAAGTTTTACAGGAACAAAGTTTGCGTCAACTAAGGTTAAGTTTATGTTTGCTAAAGTGTTTGAGTTTACTAAAGCTGAAAACTCTGCATTCGAATGAACAATAGGCAAACCAGCAGAGAAAGTGTTGTTTATACGCATGAGTATCTTTTGGTCATAGTAGTTTCTGTCGACATTCGAATAGCACTTTGAACCTAAGTTTGAAACAATATATAAAATAGGTGTACTTAAAGTCAATGGAACAGACATTCCTTGTATGACACCTTTCCTGTTATAGGAAACTGTTGGTAGTAAAAACCAGATATAAGTTTTGTATTATAGCTCATATCGTTTATACTAAACTCAGTCGGACATCCAAACATAATGAAACCTGCTCTAGTTGCAGCACATGTTACATCCGTCCTTAAAGTATTAAATAAGTCAACAAAACCTGTTGGTGGTATATCTGAGTAAGTATCTTCAAAGAAGTATTTTTTACCATTCACAACAACAAAGTCTTCTGGTGTCAAAAGAGCAAAACAGGCTTTAGTCGTCATCGTGTTTTAAGGTCAGTTTACAATATCGTCCTTGAGGACTTTGTAAGTTTGTTGTTATAGAATTATATGACTCAGGGTTTTTAGTCGTAATAGTATAAACCACTATGTCTTCTGCCATTTTTACTTAGCAAGTAAATTTTAATGAAATGTTGTGGTCGTCAAATATTTTTATGACGTCTGGGAAAACTATATTTTAAGTTCAACGTTTCACCTCCTTTCATAACGTATATCTTGTCAATGACATTGTATGAAACACCACAGCAAGCAATGTCGGGTTCTATTTCTTTGATGTTTATATCGTCTGCCTCTGTCAAAAGTTTCAATAGTTCTTTCAAAATTTCATGAGGTGCGATGACATATGAGTTCACTTTTACAGGGTTGTGCTCAACCAAGTTTAACATTAGACCTAAAGCTTGACAAATCTTCTCCTGAGTTTTAAGCTTATCTTTCAGTTGCATGTAGTCGTTTCGAATATCTGCAACAGAACTTAAGTCTCTGCTAACTTCAGGATATGTTGGTTGTTCTTTTACAGGAACTATTGTTATACCATCTTCGTCTTCGTATGGTTTCCCCACTTCAACATCTCTGTCTTTGACATTGACAACAACACTTTGACTGTTTGTTTGAGTTGGTGAATTTAACTTCACATCTGCCATCGCCATTAAACCTTTTTGAAACACTTACGCTTCTATTTTTCGGAAATGACATTTTACTTAGAATAAAAAGATGGACGTATTCGAGTATCTCTTCGAATTGAAGCAGAACAAAGTTTACACACACAAACAATACAAGTTCATTGACAGAGTAGTTCTTTACACAAAACAATGGAAAATGTTATAGAATAGCAGTCTTTGCTGAACCTAAATATTTTCATAAAGCAAAGAAAGTTGGTATAACTGAAATGGTGAAAGTTCTTGAAGCAGACAAAAATATAACAACAAAACTTACAGATATTTCTAAAGGAAAGTTTTTAATACAATACTATGTTAAGACTGGCGTACTGTCAATATTTGACGGAGAGAAGTCAGTTCAAGAACAACTTACTGACCTGCTGCCAAAATCTGCTCGATGGAAGCTGTCGTTATGCCAATCTGAGGAGCCCCAGCAGGTTTCATCGAACGAATCTTCAAAAGAGCATCTTCCGTGAAAAGTGCTATTGGTTTTGTAAACTTCTTTGCTCTCAATTCATCTGGACCGTCTCTGTCCACAGTATATTGTATTTGTACAGTACCAACAGTTGAAATACCACCCATAAAGTCTTCTGAGTCAGCAAATGGAATGCCAAGCCAAAAGTTTGAACGGTCCTCCATTTGTATATTGAGTTTTTTTGACCTCCTGTATGAGTCCATACTTTCACATATGGCATAATAGAACTTTGCATTTCAGGGTTTTATGGTTGTTGTGAAGTTGTTGTTAAAGTTCATAGCATCTAATGTCAAGTTGTATGACCTCATATCCTCAACTGTAGAATATTCTTCTCTTGGATAATATTTGCCATCTATGTTTATATGATATTTAATACCGGGGTTGTAGAAACAAGAATAGTCATTTATAGTTCGTCTGAACAGTAACAAACATAGTATCTGCATGTTTCATTGCAGTTGTTAAGGCAATATCTGTTCTTGCACCTGGGTCAGCACTTTGGTTTCCAACTTCACCTGCAAAGTCTTTGACAGATATTTGGTGTATAGGGAACATAAGTGGAACTGCAATATATTTGGCAGCTAAAGCATTTGAAATATCTGGGTCCAACATATAGACTGCAAGTCTGCTTTCTATTACTCTTGCATTCAAACTTTTCGCATGTGAACTTAACTGGGTCCCAAGCAGTTCCAGCAGCATTGAAATAATAGTTTACTTCATTGTTGAAGTTTGAGAAACCAAAGTCTAAGTCAACTTTGTCTTTGCAAAAGTCGGCGAATGATTTTATTTGTTCCTATTACGTCTGTAAGAGTGAATGGGTCTTGTGTTGGTGCAATGACTAAGTTATTTTTGCTTGGAGTAAGTTCGATAGAAATTTTTCCTGCCCAGTTTGGCAAGTATCTTAAAAACCTGAAGATGAGGAAAGATGACAAAGGAACTCTAAGTTTCAGTTTTACTTTAGTGGCAGCATTTCCATCTGAACCAGAAAGGTTAACATAAACTCCTGGAACGTTAGGGTCAAGTCTTCTTATTTTCTCAATATTTGCATACTGGTCTGTTTGTTCTCTAGCTTGTGGTTGTACTGAGTTTCTCAAAGCGAACCATTCATAGTTTGCCCATGTTACTGTTTGAACTAAGTCAGAGTTAGAATATATCTTATATCCCATGAAAACTTCTGGAGCATATTGGTATCCGACATAGAAAATTCCATTGCAACCTTTCTTGTCAGACAACTTGGCAGAAGGTTTTATTTCAATGTCTTGTTCCACGTATAAGAATGAGTTGTCAATAGAAATAATATGAAACCTGTCGCAAGCAATATCTACTGTTGTTGAAGAACCTTCTCCAAACTCACCTACGTTTCCATAAGAAACAGCAGTTGTATATTCGTAAGTTCCAGGAACTATTTCTGACCTTCTAATGGCATTGTCGCATTCGTTATACCATTCGGAAACATTTCCGTTCATGGCATCCAAAACTGTTGGCGTTATATTCTGAGCGGCGTACATTTCATATGGGTAAAAATATAGAATAGTTGGATTTATATATCATAATAGAACCCACTCGGACCAAGCTTTACTTTGTTCTACTCTTCTTCTTTGGTGTCGCTTTTGGTAACTTGCCCTCTGCTTCAAGTTGTTGCATCTTTGCCTCATGTTCACCTAGTATGTTGTAAATTTCCCATGTTCTTTTTGCCTTTGGGCTCTGGTCGCCCATCTCAGGTAACCTATATCCTAGAAAGATTTTGTCATAGTTTGTATTTGAGTCTTCGCGTATTGTTTGCATGACTCTTTCCTGAGTTTCCGGTTCAAGCTCTTCAAACAGAGCTTGTCCATATGGAATAAGCTCGTTTCCAAATATATGTTTTTGTAGCCATTCTGGTTTTCTTTCCATGTTACCAACAATATCTTTTGTGAATGGGAAAGCTTTTACCCAATGTTTCAGTCTTGCGTCATTTATTTTTTTCCATTTTATTTTGTCAAGGAACATGTTTTTCAATACTAACATTTCATTTGGTACTGTCCATTTGAGTTTTCTTAAATATTCATCCCTTCTCGGTTCATTGTCTGCAAAGTAAGTTTTTATGACATTTTGTAAACTTTCGTTTGCAAGGTCATGTACAATAGGTTCTCTTCCTTCTCTCTCCCTAACTTTCTTTCTAAACTCTTCACCAAATATACCATCTCTATGGTTCTGTGTAGTTCTTTGAGATAAATGTTCTAGAACGTCAGGTGTTATATTTCCATCAGCCATGTTCATTTCATACTGGTTCAAAATATCTGCATCTTTCATATCTTTCAATGGCATTAAAGCCGCGCTGAAAATACCAGCTACATCTGGTTCACCATTCACTTCCATTGCGTCTACAACTTCTTGGAATTGTGGTTGTAAGTTTATGAACCACCTATCCGGATTAGCTTTATGACCCCATCTCATTGTAGTTCCATCGTCTGCAGAAACAAAAGTAGGTTTGTTTCCATATTGGCTAGGTTCTGAATGAACTTTAAACAATGTTTCATTTCTATATGTTTTGTTGAAATTTAACCTTTTATTTTCACCGAGTTCATCCAAAGATTGAACGTTATATGCTCGTAAGTAAAAAGGATTGTTGTATTTGTGTACATTATCTTTCAGTACTTCCATTCTATGCTGGATATTTTCATCTGATGTTGGAGTCTTTTGTATGTCGGCGAACATTTTTCGATATTCTTCTACTATGTCAGCTGAATTTTTTTTTGACTCTTGGAAAGATTCCATATTCTCCGCATACTCTTGTTGAGGGTCAAGATTTTTCGGCTGTTCCAAATCTTCATCTAGTTCTGTGAAGTTAGTTTCCAAAGGAGGGACTTGTTCGTTTCCTTCAGGCTCTTCTAGCTGTTGTTGCTGAACTATTTCTTCCATGTCTGGTTGTATCTGAACTTCTTCCTGTGGAGTTTCTTGTACCTCATCTGCTGGCATTTCATATATTCCGAGACCGTTTTTAAAAAGTTCCCTATCTAAGTCATCCGGACTCATAAACCTTTCTTCTTTCGTTCCGTCTCTATTTTTTACGCGTTTCATGAAGAGAGTTGAATTATCATTTAGCTCTGACACCAAATATCTCGGAGTAAATTCAGTCATGTCATTTGGATGATATGCTATTAAATCATATCCCTTAGCGAGCTTGTATTTTCCAGGTTTGAAATTATATCCCATTTGGTGCTGAACCATAAAGCTAAATAGGTTCGGGTCAGTATTTCCTTCCTTGAACTTTCTAATAGCTTCTTTATATCTGTCACTAAAGTCAAGAGTATCTGGGTAACCATAGTCTTCCTTAAGCATTTTTAAGAATTCTTGGTTTCCTTGTTCTCTACTTCTTTTATGTCCTTGCTCTGTTTGTGGTGCAGTGTTTTGAACTGTTGGTTGTGGTGCAGTGTTTTGAACTGTTGGTTGTGGTGCAGTGTTTTGAACTGTTGGTTGTGGTGCAGTGTTTTGAACTGTTGGTTGTGGTGTTGGTTGTTGTGTTGGTTGTTGTGTTGGTTGTTGTGTTGGTTTTGGTGCATGCCTGTGTCTGTGTCCATGTGACGATGTAAATGTTTTAGGTAGTCCTGGTGCAGGTGCTTCTCTTGGAGGGTTTGGTGGTATATAAGTTCCACCAGCTGGCACATATGTTCCATCTGCAGCATAATGTCCTACCTGACTTTTCGTTCTTAAGAAAGCATTTACTAGGTCTGTTTTGGTCTGTTGTAACTCTTTTTCTTGACTTTCCACAACAGTTGCTCTAACGGCGTCATAGGCACTTTGAACTGCCTGTCTCGTTGCTGCATCTGTTATTTTCGTCATATTTTGTGCTACTTCTCTTAACTCTTTGTCGAAACCTTCAGACTTCAGTTTCTTTCCAGATGAGAAGTCGTTCACTAGTTTCACCTTACTATGAAGAGCTTCGAAGGCGTTCTTAAAGTCAGCATTCATTAAAGCTTCATTTGAACTGTCTTCATCCGCTTGTATTTTTGTCCTTATTGACCCTATAAGTTGGGCTGCTTTAGCGTTGGCTTGGGCATCTAACCAGTCATTATTAGCTTTTATATATTCTGCGCTTTTCATTGCCTTTTGCATGGCTGCGTCGTTATTTTTACTTTCTTGTGCTAAGTTTTCATACTGTACGGTTTGGTTTTGCAACTGTAAAAGTTTTTCTGCCTTTACATTTGCTTCAACTTCTTTTTTATACTCATCGCTATCCATATATGTCTTCAGGGCTTTTTGTTTTATCTCTTCATCTTTCAGTACTTTATATTGAGTAGTATGGTTTTTCAAATTTATAACATCTTGTTCCATTTTTGCTACTTCTGCTGCTTTTTCTGACACTTTTTTCGCATATTCCTCTGTACTTAGTTCTTTCAGTTGTTCTTCTTTCTTCTTTTTCTCTACGTTTAACTCATTGAGTTTCTTTGTGTGTCTGTCATATTCTAGTTTCTTTTCGTTTTCACTTATTTGTTTCTGTATGTCTATGTTTGACTTTTTGACATCTGTTATTTGATTTTTGAGTGAACTCAAATTCATTTGACTTTGAGGGTTATAGGCTGTTCCGTCTGCAGCTCCACCATAGCCTGCCATTTTCGCTAAAAGTGCCGCTCTTAAACCTCCACTCTGTGCACCAATAACTCGGTTTAAAAGCATAGGGTTGCTTGACATTTGTTGCAACATAGTGGGGTCATTCATAATTTGTTGTTGCAACTGTTGTTGTGGTGTTAGTTTTACTATTGGATGTTTCAATGCTCTCTTCCTCTTACGTATATTCTTACGTAGCTTACGTGGCATTTTAAGTGAAGTAAAAAACGGTTTTTGACAGATGTTTATATGACACTATTTGTTCAGCACAAAAAACTACTCGGTCAAAGTGTTGTCAGTTTTGTAAAATAACCGTCCTATCTCATTCTATAAGGGGGAAAGGCTTCTCAAAGTATACTTCCTTGGAACGCCCGTAACTTTTCCTGTAGCGACGATAGACCCTTATTTGTCCGGACAAAGTTATACTATTTTGAGTGCTCTACAAAAAAGTCAACAGCGACGACTCTCAAAAACCGTTGTGTAAAAAGTTTTACCGTTGGACAAAAAAGTATATATAGAAAACAAAAAACGTTTATAGTTCATTCAATATTTGAGATGGAACGGTTTTCCAACGGTAACTATTAAATAAAATAAAAAAATAGAGGGAGTCTCCGTTGACGAAAACGGTTCATCTCAAACTCTTATTTGAAAAAACAGTTTATTTTTGTCTAATGGAAGCCAACGCTGTTAACCACAATTCAAACATTAACAATTCTCAACCGCTAACCAAAGCCAAAGCCCCACAACCTCCAAGAACCGGCACAGCGGTTAGAATAACCACCAAAAAGTCTAACAGCGAATTAAGAGAAATTCTTCAACAAATTTGCTCTAAATATCTCAAAGACGCCGAAGAAAACACACAACCAGACGCTACATACAATACTCAGTTCTGTGAAGTTCTGAACAAAGCAATTGCTAGTTCAATTGAACTTACTAAGACAATTCCAAATCCAATTGAGCTTAGCGATGTCTTAGTTCAGTATTTTCCAACATTTACTAAGCTTATAATGTTGAGAACTTTATACCAAGTTCGTCAAAATCTTCCTCGTTACATGCAACGGTCATTCGACAAGAGAATTGCTGAATTCCAAGTCTTTAGTTACGGATATGACGAAGATGAATACGTTGACGAGTTCGGAGACAACTGTACAAAATGGTTTGAATGTTATACGACAACACAATTTGAATTCGACTTTCTCGAATTCAACGCAGCAACCATTCATATCATTGCTCTTTACCTTTCCGAACAACAACAAGACCTCGCAGATGGAGATGTTGTTACTGTCGTCATGGAAACTCCTGAACAATTCGGAAAAAAGAAGTCTCTAATTGCCAAATTCGTTCCAGGACATCAGCTTTTCCAACGCACAGAAGTCTTCTGTATTCCTGGAACTAAGTTCTTTGTCAGGAGCGAACGCAAAGAAAGATATAATGTGTCATTCAATTACACATTATATAATGTTTTCGACCCAGAAGAAGGCTTCTTCCCAGAAGCAATGGAGGAAGAAGAAGAGGAGGAGGAAATACAAAACTCTATCCAAGAAGAGTCCTCCGAATTCACACCAGAAGACTAACAATTTTCCGAATAAAAACTTCATTTATACTAAACATCTTCGGGGCTAGAAGGGGCGCAGCCCCTGGAAGCCCCACTACCTTTTTTTTTTTTTTTTTTTTTTTTTGATATGAATGCAAAGCAATCAGTATTTAGGACATTGACCATAGATTTCAAAAAAAATGCTGCATATTGAGCGAAAACTATGATTATATTATAAGGCTGTCATTTAAAGCATAATGAAACTATTCCCTTTTCATTTTAATCGAATAAGATAGTAAAGATTTTTGAATTAGCTAGAAACTGATGAGATGTTTTCACAAATCAGATTTTTAATCTCTATAATGCATAATTCACTCAATATCTCAATTTTGATATTGCGAGATATTTTTGCTATCGGTTTCGCAATTTTGACACAATAGCAAGAGGGTTCTATAAGCATTATTATCAACGTAGAATCTGAATATCATATCAGAAAATGTCGCAAATCTGACATTTACCCGACCAAATAGCAAAAATAATTGAATACTTTTCGCAAAAACTTTAAAAATCGATAAAAATATGAAATATAGATATTAAAGAGACTTTTTATATAATATTCATAAAGATTTTCCAAAAATATGATACCGCAAAATTAAAAAAGTGACGTCTTGAGTGGAGTCAAAGGTCGAAATTGCTAGCTAAATGTTTTTTTAGCGAAATTGCGTATTGTACGTTTTTTCGCAAAACGAAACCCTTATTCGGAATTTAATAAAGATTGTTATTAAATGGGAAAACATGAGAAAACTTATTATCGTTAAATAATTGAATATCAGTTCGGAAAATTTGAGGAAAGGTTATTAATTCGATTAATTAGCATTTATCCTAGCTTGAAATATCAGATTGTTTAATATTACAGATATATTGTTTCAATGCGAATTTTCGGTTTTATTCAAATTGGAAACACAAAAAAATAGTGGTGATTTTAATTCGTAAAATATTTATTTATAAATTTGCAACTATAAATATATAAAAGTATTTGTGATAAAATACGTACACAGAAATTTTGTGACGACATCAAATTTTTAACGATTAACTTTGGATTATTTTTTCATTAATACAAATTTATTGCTTCTTAAATAATTTTTGCGTTATTATCAAAAATTTGAATAGTATAGATTTTGAATTTGGGAACCATATGTATCTCTTTATCATTAATGAAATTTCGATTTATATAATCAAATTCAAACACTTTTCAATTTTTTTCAATGTATAAATATGTTTGCGCTTTTAATCATCTTTTCGCACTCAAAAGAACATTCTATCGCATCTAGATCACGAAAAACTATCATTACCTCAATTTGGATTCCTTCGTGGCGGTTCCATTCATGTTGAACTTATATCAGAAACTGCAGAAGATTTCCGTTTTCATATGGTTCCAAGAGATAGATATGAAATTCAAATCAGAAATGATTCTAAATACTGTACAATAAAGTATGGAATTATTCCAAGAGTCAGAAAAGAGATTTCTTCTGATTTTAAATATATCGAATGGTACAATCAGATAGAAATTTCCGGTGTATATCAACCAATGATCGTTGTATGCTCAAATGTTACTTCAGAATATCACGTAAAATACGATATCAAAAATCCAACATTCGATTTCGATTATAGATACTTGAAGAGTGATACAGTCTTCCTCATTTTTGATTGTCGTTTTATTTGTTCTGCTGTTCTTGGAATATCGGCATGGTATTTATATCCATCTTTCCTTATTCCAATCCAGCTTTATACAACATTATTGGCAGTGTTAGCAGCAGTTTCTTATGATTTCAATGCATACAAGTATCAGAAAATGATCAAAGAAAATCAATTCGTTAGCAAAAAATTTGAATTATTAAATGATTCACTTTTGATCCTCACAATTGTCCTTTCTCTAATAATCGGGCATTTAGTTAGTATGGGCTATTCAATAATTGCTAAATCAATCCAATACAAGACCCAATTGAATGTTCTCATTACACCAATCATAATTGGTGTTTTTATCTATCTTATTCAGCACGTAGAAGATGAAGTACTGAATATTCTATCGATCATCGCATCCAGTTTTCCAATTTGCTATTACCTGTATAATATCATCAATAACGTTGCATATTTACTTGAAGCATCAAGCGAAGTAACAGATAATACGATGAGTCTGAAGATATCCATGACTTTAAAGGCAATTTCAATATGGATTTCTTCTTTAGTTTTCTGTATCATTTCAATACCTCAAGAAAAAGGCCGCAATTCAATTATATTCTGGTCAATATCCCTTTTCATACAAATTGGATGTCTCTCAATTTACTTTGTGTTTTCTGGTGGATATGTTACAGAAGATGAAGAAGAGGAGACAGTTGATAATGTAATTTATATTGAAGACCCGAATAATGATTCAAGATTGATGGTTCTGGAACCATAATTCTGAAAAAATTTTAAATTTGTTTATTATCTTTTCTTTATTTGTATGTTTGCTTTAAATAAATGTTTGAATTTTTGTTTGAAATCTAAATGAAGGTGAATGAACTTTTCACAGACATCTTCAATAAAAATTTTCCTAGATTTGCCATGTATTGCTATTCTATTGGTTATTATTCAGAAGCAAATTGTCTACATAAGAATGAGATTTCCGTTTTATGATATCGATGGCTTAAAGGGTCATAATCGCAATTGTGATAAAATTCACGATCGTGCATGAATGATAAAAAGTTGAAAAACAACATATCCATACTAATCTAGCCTATTTTAACATAACACCGAATGAAAAATCATTGAAAAAATAATTCGCAATTTTGAAAAATCTAATTTTAGATCCTCAAACCCAATTATCCTGATTAATACAAATTTGCTCTGTTGAAATTGCACACTCTAAAATCATAACCATTAATGAGGGAGGTCGATCCCCAATACGGGAAGGACACAAATAACACAAAAAATACTAAAAAAGGCTTTCGAGCTCGATTTACAGAGGAGGAAGACAAGCTACTGAAGGAATTAGTTATTAATAAAAAAAATACTTCATGGAAAGAAATAGCAAGCCATTTACCTGGAAGAACTGCATGCC